CCATCCTCTTAGAAATCCTGAAATAATTAGTCTGGGGTTATGCTGGGCATTTTTTTTTTTTAAACAAAATCACCCTAGTGATTTCAATGGGCAGCCAGAGTTGAGTATACCGATCTCTCTTTAAATCCAACAGACATACTGCATATTTTTCAAGGTCTGGCTGAATTCTCCAGAAATCCTCATTAAGAAAGCCTATAAAATTGGGGAGCGGCTGGCTGGCTCAGGCGGTAGAGCATGCGACTCTTGATTTTGGGGTTGTAATTTCGAGCCCCACACTGGGTGTAGAGGTCCTTAAAAATAAAAATCTTTAAAACAAAAACAAAAAAAGATAGCCTGTAAAGTTCGTACAGAAAATAAAATTTTATATTTCCTTTTGATTATGAATCAAAATTAACTTTATTTAAAGAAGTATGGATTATTTCCCACAAACCACATTATTCTGTTCTCGCAAAGATAAAATCCTATTAAATTATTTTAAAAGAATTTTTGATTCCAGCAACTTTTTCAGTGATATTTCATTGGACAGTTTATAAAATACAAAAAGCAATTTTCCACAAAATATTACCTATTAAAAGATATAAATTAAATTGATAAGTTCCTTAAACATTTGAAGGCAAAAGCACAGAATGAAATGTATACTAAAAAAGTAATTCTAAAGAGCAATAGCACAGTGGACCATATTTACAAATATAATTTAAAAACTGGTTCAAGGGGCGCCTGGGTGGCTCAGTCGGTTGAGCGGCTGCCTTCGGCTCAGGTCACGATCCCAGGGTCCTGGAATCGAGCCCCACGTCAAGGCTCCTTCCTCGGCGGGGAGCCTGCTTCTGCCTCTCCCTCTGCCTGCCACTCCACCTGCTTGTGTTCTCCCTCTCTCTATCTCTGTCAAATAAATAAATAAAATCTTTAAAAAATAATAATAATAAATAAAAAATAAAAATAAAAAAATAAAAACGGGTTCAATTAGTAAATTATTGCAATTAGGAAAAGTCCCGGGGCACCCAGGTGGCTCAACCGGTTAAGTGTCTGCCTTTGGCTCCTGGGATCTAGCGCAGCATCAGGCTCCCTGCTCAGCCTGCTTCTCCCTCTCCCTCTGCCTCTCCCTCTCTCTCTCAAATAAATAAATAAATAAATAAATAGATAAAATCTTTAAAAAAATAAAAAAAGCCCCAAATTCAGTGATCAAATCTTTGGGACAATGTACTACCCCACACCATTATTTAATACATATGTATATTTTTAAGTAATCTCTATACCCAGCATGGGGCTCGAACTCACAACCCTGAGATCAGGAGTTGCATACCCTACCAACTGAGCCAGCCAGGTGCCTCTGACCCCCTGAAACATCCTTATTTAAAAGCATACAATTTTATCTGCTGATGTCCACAAAAGCAATTCTCTGAAAATACTTTCAAAAACTAATCAAATTTTCAATTGATGGGTATCCTAACATTCCTAGATTTATCTCTAAAAGTTTACTATAAATTTTATTATATTCACCATATGAAAAATGAAATTTTAAAAGTCTGAATGGAAATAGCTGGCGTATCCTTTCAATTAGAGAAGCAGTTACGGAAATCTACAGGCACAGTTGAAGTATCTTAAGACAACTAAACGGCAGCAGTTACAGTTTAAATCCATCTCCCTCCCACTTTAAACTGTGGTACATCATTAATTAAACAAATCGTATAGGGAAAATGGGAAAATTTGACCCAATGTGTCAATTCAACTTTACATGATAGAAGTGTGTCCTAAAAATTAGAATGATATTTAAAGAAAGAAAAGGAATAGTCACCAAATCAAAAAGGGAACCAGAGTTGCTCTCTCTGCTTTTGAAAGGCGCCTTTGTTATTTTGCTACTGATATAGTTAACAGCCAAAAGGACTAAACTCTGCTTTCTGTTATAGATAAACCAGGTCCACTAAGTAAATAAACTGCGAAAATTTAACAAAGGGCACAACTTTAAGCAGTGTAGAAGAAAACAAAATAAAACAAAACAAATGAAGCTCAATCAACCAAATAGAAATGACTTCTAGAAATTAACACTGCCAAACAATCTGGCAAAAGAAGTATTCCTTTTTACGGATTTTCTTTATGTTCACAGATAATTTATTTAAGATTATCAAACAGACCTAAATTTCACAATTTCTGATCCAGTTCCAAAATAGAAACGGTGCTTTATAAACAGACACTAAGAGTATCTTTAAAATCCAAGATTTCTTCATAAATTTGCTCCTCAAAACAATCCCTTGAACAGACAACGGTAAGGAATGCTCTCCCTCTTAATTATGAGACATTAAAAGAATCCTTATCTTATTCTGCTTCTGAAGGATCTCTGCATTCACAGATAAAGGCTTGTTACTAAGAAGTCCTGTGATAGGAATATCTCAATTTGTGGGTCAAACTTGATGAGAACACTGAGGGGCAGGGTTGTTAACTATTTCTCCTAAGTAAAAAGTTCCAAAGCAGAAATGGTTTCAAGACAGCCCAGGTACTTCCCAGATTCCTGAGAAAGGGATTTCAGTACTTCAAAAGATTCCTATTTCCAAACTTTCTGAAGAAGTTGACAACGGAGAAAGAGAGAGAAGATGGAAAAAAAAGAAAAATCACATCACTACAATGTGATCTTAAGGAAAAAACATTGACCTTAAGATGAACATTGAGGAGACAGATAAAGCACTAATAAATTCAATAACTTAGATGTTATATCCTAATATATTATAATCTCTTTGTTCCTTAAAACAAAGCAGCTAATTTGCTTGATAACAAATGAAATTAAAGCTGCTCTGAATATTTTCATTTTCTTCCTTTTTTCTTTAACTCATGATCCTGAGATCAAGATCTGAGCTGAGATCAAGAATCAGATGCTTAACCAACTGAGCCACCCAGGTGCCCCATGAATATTTTCATTTTCTGCTGTGAATTATTTCCCCTACCTTTTTTATTTCTTCAACATATGCAATCATGGCTTCCTCTTTGGTCATATCACCCAATGAACTCCAAGCATCCCTAGAAATGAGAATATCCAAATAACAAAAAGACACATTTTCCAATGGCTCAGAATACAATTTGTAGTCAATGCTATAGGGTCATTAATTTAAATCGGGCTCTCTACTTAAAGCCTACACAAAGATGTTATGCTCTCAAAGGATCACTTTAAATGTACCATCTTAAAGAAAAGGATCAGAGTAAATAAACTGTCAAATTGAATAGTATTTAAAACTAGTAAATACACAGCCCATCTATAGATTATAGACTATAGATTACAGAGACTATATTATATATAGTATAGAGCAGACACTATAGACTGTTGAAAAATATTTGCTAGGAACTCTTCAAAAATTTTATATTATAAAGAACAGTGACATAAATGAACATTTTAGAACTCTACATGAAATGAACTATCACAGCCATGTTTTAAATGAACAGAAGTTTTGCTTAAAAGTTTCCATTAATTTAAACAGGAGTCTAACTTACACACTCAAAAAATACAAGTGGTTTCCTACTTCTAAAAAAACAAAAATGTGAGGCAGAGGACATTTTTAAACCCCTAGATGATGAGAAGAGTCCTTTGAAATTTTTGCCTAAAATGAAAATCTTTCTTTTTACATATTTTTTCCAGAAGCAGTTTAAATCAACCAATGGTCATTTCTGAGGAAAAATCATAAAGTAAATCAACTTTCCTAAAACAGATTAGGTAACATACTGCTATTACATTTGACCTATTATCTATGACTATTCATAAAGAACTTAGAGGAAAGTACCGTACTAAGAAATCCTCAAAAGAGTTTAAGGACTTCCAATGCAGTGTAAAGAAATTTAGCCATTGGGCACCTGTGTGGCTCAGTCAGTTGGGCATCTGCCTTCAGCTCAGGTCATGATCCCGGAGACCTAGGATCAAGCCCTGCATCGGGCTCCCTGCTCAGCAGGGAGTCTTGCTTCTCTCTCTGCCCCTCACCCTGCATGTGCTCTCTCTCTCTCTCTCTCTCAAATACATAAATGGAATTAAAAAAAAGAAAGATATTAAGCCATCAAAATGTGTGGCTCTTAAGACTTCACCAATTAGCATACTCTGTTCATAACATACAGTCTATGTTACAGAGGTATCTCCGGCTATTTTATGATTTTCTTAAGGATATTAAAAATCAAATTTCTATTCAAGTACAGTGGGACAGGAGGAACACAGCCTAGATAAAAAGTTAGCACAGCAGTCCCTTAGTCATACGCCTAGTTATCGTCTAAAGGCTCAAGGCAAACAGTGTCACTTGGCAAGTAAAGTCATTATTTTTCTTGGTAGGTACAAGAGGCAGAAGAGTTTGTTTGTTTAACTGATTTTGGGAGTTGCTCTTCTTACGATAAATGAAAAAAACTCTATCAAAGGAAAGACTAACTGAAAATGATATTTTTTAATCTTTGATACACCTTTTGGTTTTATCTTCTTCTCTTCCCCAAGACTTTTCTATTTGTATGAAATTGTGTTAAAAGCACATGGAAGATAAAAATTGGATCTAGTACGTTAGAACACTTCTGCTCAGACTAATACATAACCACATAAATAAGTCATATGATAATTATGTCACTAAAATAAAATCCCTTTCATAGCTCTCTATGTGAAATTACCATTTGTATCTTCCAATAGGATCCCAGAATCCAGGCCTTGAAAGTTTACAGGGTCCTTCAGTTGCCTGCTTATAGAAGCCATAGAATTTGAGCATCATTTCATTTGTTGGCTGAAATGAACCTATTGGAAACATATTAAATACAGATCACTGGAGAATACAATCGATAATCTAAGGCTAGAAATCAGCTGAGCTATACCAATAGTGATTTTTAAATATTTCATCAATAGTTCAGATAACCTTTTATTTTTGTCTTACAGAAACAAACGTTATGGCTCTGGTAGTTGCTATACTCTTTTGATTTAAAAGAACTCAGATTTTTACACCTAAATAACAATGCCTAACATAGTCCAGTAAATAAAAGAATAAATGAACAAACAGGCCATAGGTGTTATTAAAATAACTGGCAAATGTCATTTATAAAAAGCAATACGTGAAAATATAGAATAACTGCATTATGCAACTATAATAATGTATTTTTTATTCAAAGATTGTGACAAACCAAACTGACTAGCATAAATGAAAAAGTTAAATGTACACTCTGCTTAACGGAAATTCCATATTAAGACATTCAACTCCTCGGGGCACCTGGGTGCTCAGTTGGTTGAGCGTCTGCCTTCGGCTTAGGTCGTGATCCCAGAGTCCTGGGATCAAGCCCCCAGTCGGGCTCCCTGCTCAGCAGGGAGTCGGCTTCTCCCCCTTCTTCCCATTCCTGCTCTCTCTCATTATCTCTGTTTCTCTCAAATAAATAAATAAATAAAACATTTTTAAAAAGAAGAAAGAAACTCAATTTTCTTGGCCAAATTTCAATTTCTTGATGAATAAGGAAGTTTGGCTAAAATCAACCAGTGTGTGCTGTGGTAGAAAAAGAATTAATCCAAGATAAAAGCGATTTCTTGGGACACCTGGGTGGCTCAGTAGGTTAGGCATCTGCCTTCAGCTCAGGTCATGATCCCGGGGTCTTGGGACCGAGTCCTGTGTGGGGCTCCCTGCTCAGCAGGGAGTCTGCTTCTCCCTCTGCCTGCCGCTCCCCGATTGTGCTCTCCGACAAATAAATAAATAAAATCTTAAAAAACAAAAAAGACATTTCTCACTTCCTACCTCTGTAATTTTGGACACATCAATTCCATTGAAAATTAGTCTTCATACATGTCCCTAGTGTATATATAACTTTTTTTATGTTAAAAATTTCAAATTGTGGGGTGCTTGGGTGGCTCATCCAGCTAAGCATCAACCTTCGGCTTGGGTCATGGTCCCGGGGTCCTGGGATCGAGTCCCATGTCGGGCTCCCTGCTCAGCAGGAAGTCTGCTTCTCCCTCTCCCTCTGCCCCTTCCCCCTGCTCGTGCTCTCTGTCTCTCTCAAATAAATAAATAAAATCTTTAAAAAAAATTCAAATTGTATGCATGAGTGGTATAAGTTGCAATACTTAATAACACCCACCCCCTCCTCTCTAGAACCCTCGGTTTGTTTCTCAGAGTCTGTAGTCTCTTACGGTTCGTCTCCCCCTCCGATTTCCACCCCTTCCCTTTTCCCCTCCTACTATCTACTTTTCTTTTAACATATAATGTATTATTTGTTTCAGGGGTACAGGTCTGTGATTCATCAGTCTTACACAATTCACAGCGCTCACCACAGCACACACCCTCCCCAGTGTCCATCGGCCAGCCTCCCCATCCCTCCCACCCCCCACCACTCCAGCAACCCTGTTTGTTTCCTGAGATTAAGAATTCCTCCTATCAGTGAGATCATATGATACACGTCTTTCTCTGATTGACTTATTTCGCTCAGCATAATACCCTTTAGTTCCATCCACATCATTGCAAATGGCAAGATTCCGTGAAGGTGTTTAATGCGTAAAGATTTAGCTGGAGCACCCCTTTGCCCTTTTTAGCCTTTGCCTTTTACTTGCATCCTTCTTATCCTTGAAATGCTGAAATAGATGGAAGTATAGCAGCTGCCTTGTCCCACAGTGATGAAAGCCATGTACCAAGTTGGTGAAAACTGAAAGGGAAGAGGAGCCGCGGTCCTTGGTAGCTTCATGAACAATGGCACCGGCCTGGTACGGTCTGTGCAAAATCTGATCCAAGAAAAATATAGACATTTGTCTTTCCGTAGGGTTTTATTGCTTGAAGCAAAATGGAATTTCTAACTGAAGCAATCTGTATTAGACAAAAAAAACCTTTTGTACAGAATGAAGAATTCTTACAGTTAATTAAAACCAAAGGACAAAAAACTCCATAGAAAAATGGGTCAGGGAAAAGACTAGCACACAGCAGAAGAGGAATAACAAATGGCCAAAAACACAAATGGGAAGATAAGCTCTATAATAATCAGGGAAATGCAGATTAAAACAACAATGATATACCACTTTTTATTCCTCAGTCCTGCTAATGATCTTATGTCTGACAATATAAAATGCTGATGAGAATATGAACATACAGAACGCTCATACATTCCCTTTTTTTAACTTCTTTTGTAAGATTTTATTTATTCATTTGACAGAGAGAGAGAGAGAGAGAGCACAAGCAGGGGGAGCAGCAGGCAGAGGGAGAAGCAGGCTCCCTGCTGAGCAAGGAGCCCGATGCCCGGTTGGATCCCAGGACCCAGGGATCAAGACCTGAGCTGAATGCAGCCGCTTGACCGACTCAGCCACCCACACACCCAGATCTCACACACTCCTGATGAGAATGTAAACTGATACAACCTAATGGAGACCAATTTGGTATTTTCTACCAAAAATGAAAATACACATACCTATTAATGAAGCAATTTCTGTTGTTAGCATAAATTCTAGAAAACTTTCACCCATGTGTGCATGGGGACAGATATAAGGATATTCATCAGAGAGCCGTTTGTAGTATTAAGCGGTTTGAAACAACCAAAATACCTTCAAATGGAGAGTACATAATGAAATATGGAACGCAGGAACGATGAAATACTATATAGCAACGAAAAGGAGTAAACTACACTAGACTCTATGAATCTTGAGAAGATAATGTTACGTGAAAAAATAAATTTTTAAAATATATAAAATACACAAAACAGAATTACAAATTGTTTATAACAACTTAGTATATAAAGTTATTTTTCAATAAAAAGAGAAACACTAAATCTATGCTAGTGATTGCCTTGATGGGTGGAGGGACTGGTTACGGTGCATAAAAGGTCTGCATTTTCATCCAAATATTTTATTTCCCTTTAAGAAACAAACATGGAAAGTTGTGACAATTTTTAAATTTTTTTTAAGATTTTATTTTTTTATTCATGAGAGACAGAGGGAGAGAGAGAGAGAGAGAGAGAGAGAGAAGCAGAGGGAGAAGCAGGCTCCCAAGGAGCAGGGAGCCCGATGCAGGACTCGATCCCAGGACCCCGGGACCATGACCTGAGCCGACGGCAGACGCTTAACCATCTGAGCCACCCAGGCGCCTGACAATTTTTAAATTTTTTATAGAATTTTACCCAGTTGCCCTCCATTATTGAACAATCCATCTTTTCCCCCTGATTTGAAATACTAGTTCCCACAACCCAACAACAAAAAAACAATCAGATTTTAATATGGGCAAAGAGCTTGAATAGAGAGTTCTCTAAAAAAGATATGAAAATGGACAATAAGTACATTAAATGATCCTTAACATCACTAACTAGTAGGCAAATGCAAATGAGTTGTTTTGGTTTCTTTTTAGATTTTCTGTTTCTTTACTGATATTTTCATTTTGTTCACACAATGCTTTCTTAACTTTCTCCACATCCTTCTTTAGTTCTTTGAGCATCTTTAAAAACAGTTGTTTTAACATCTTTTTCTAGTATATGTGCCATTAATTAGATCTTTATGAGTGATATTTGCTATTGTTTTGTTTTTTTCATTGGTCCATATTTACTGTTTTTTGTATGCCATGTGATTTTTTGGTTGTTGTTGTGGAATACTGGCCATTTGAATCTAATAATGTGGTAACTCTGGATATCAGATTCTCCCCTGTCCCCAGGGTTTCCTGTTTTTTGTTATTGCTTTTGTTTATTGTTATGGTTTGTTGATTGTTGTAGGCTGTCTGTGGGAGGATCAGCCTGAGGTAAAACTAAAATTCTTCTCAAGTCCTTTCAGAGCCTTTCCCTGGGCATGTGTGGTCACTTCTAGTTTTCTTGCGTTTGCAGTTGCTTTTTTTTTTTTCTTAAGATTTTATTTCTCCATTCAACAGATAGTGGGAGAGAGCTCAAGAGAAAGCCGGAGCAGGGGGAGCAGCAGGGGGAGAAGGGAAAAGCAGCCTTCCCCACTGAGCAGGGAGCCAGATGCGGGGGTTCGATCCCAGGACCCTGGCATCATGACCTGAGCCGAAGACAGATGCTTAACAAATTGAGCCACCCAGGCACCCCAAAATAAATAAAATCTTTAAAAAAGAATTAACTGTGGAGGGGCGCCTGGGTGGCTCAGTTGGTTAAGCGACTGCCTTCGGCTCAGGTCATGATCCCAGGGTCCTGGGATCGAGCCCCGCATCGGGCTCCCTGCTCGGCCAGAAGCCTGCTTCTCCCCTTCCCCCTGCTTGTGTTCCTTCTCTCGCTGTCTCTCTCTCTCTCTCTCTCTCTCTCTCTGTCAATTAAATAAATAAATAAAATCTTAAAAAAAATTAACTGTGGAAATAAAGGAGCATTGGTTCAAGGAAAAAGCTGAGGGGCGCCTGGATGGCTCAGTCGGTTAAGCCTCAGGTTCTTGATTTTGGCTCAGGTCATGATCTTGAACCCCAAGTCAGGCTTCTGGCTTGGGCTCAGTGGGAGTTGGCTTGAGATTCTCTCTCTCTCTCTCTCTCTCTCTCTCTCCCTCCCTGCCCCTCCCCCCTCTTGTGTGTGCTCTCTCTCAAATAAATAAATACAATCTATTATTTATTTGAGAGAGAGAGAGCACAAGCAGGGGCAGTGGCAGGAGAGGGAGAAGCAGACTCCCCACTGAGCAGGGAGACTGACTTGGGGCTCGATCCCAGGACTCTGAGATCATGAACTAATCCGAAGGCAGATGCTCAACCATCTGAGCTACCCCGGCGCCCCAAATAATAAATCTTAAAAGAAAAAGAAAAACAGCTAAATCTCAGTAAAAACAGTAAGCTTTGTGTTGTTTGAACTTGCCTTATTTCCATCCCTCTCTCCCTAGCTCTGCAGTCGCCTGGAAGACAAACTGTCTTACAATCATAGTGCTTTGGAAAGCATCATCCTAGCAGCCTCTGGATGGGGAAGAACAGGTTGGGAAAGCCCCCAAAAGTCCGATGCCCAGAGAATTACTGCTATTTGACCTTGCTGGCAGCTCCCTGGAAAAGCCCCATTCTCAGGACTTAGCTTTCACTTGACTCAGAACTCACTTAGCACCAACAATCCTATGTATTTGTTGAAAACCACTTTTAACTGTTTACCATTGCAGTGGCTGTGGCGGCCATAATAGGGAAAACAGAGTTTGAAAAAAATTTTTTAAGGAAAATCTGGAGAATGAGATGTCCACAGAGGGTTTTGAAAAACCGCAACGTATATTTTTGGAAATCCAGAATACCACAAATCCATGCAGAGTTGTGCCCGTGCCCAGGAGACCGTGAGCTCAGTGGCTACAAATGACAAAGAATACAGACATTACAGAACTAGCTTGGAGAAGTCATTAAACAAACAAACGACAACAACAAACAGGAACAGCATAAACTCCTGGGGAGAAACCAGATGTTCTTGTGTATGAGTAACTTGCACAATGACACAGGTAGCACCCAGGCCACATAGATATGTATTGTAAAAGTTTCCCCACTTGCAGTGAACACCTGAAACTCTATTTCCTTTGATTATCTACTCTCTCTGGAAACTTCCCACACCAATCTCAGGGCATTGCTGTCAGTGCTAATGCTCTTACCAGATTTTCTTTTTGAGGAATGTGGATGTGGAACGGAGGGATTTGAGAGGAGGATTGGCTTCTTGAATGGTGGAGATGAAAAACTGGGGACACAAATTTGCCTTGATCTCCGCCATTTACAAAGGGTAGCAAAAACAAAACAAAACCTTTGCAAAGATACAGGGCACTAAATGAGAATACTTGCCTGGGTTCCTGATGCCCTTCCCAATGACTTGCACAAGTATTTTCTTAGGACTGACTGCATTGGAAGTTTTGAGTGCTGTGAGTGAGCCTGAATTCTCGTAGTGAGAACTTATTTTTTCTTTTTCTCTTTTCCCCTTTTGTCTTTTTCTTTCTTATGCTACCTCGGGTTTTGTTTTCTGTAACTTCCAACTAAAGATATACTAACTTTACATGGGCTGCCATTTGTCTTTAGAGCTTTTTAAATATTATTTTGTTCATTTGTAGGGAAAAGAGAAATCATTCTAGATATTTCCAGCACTAAGGGATTTATAAAACCACTGGAAGGGTTGGAGGACAAAGTTCAGGGAAGGGCCACGATTATCCAGTTCTCAGCTAGGTTCAAAGATTGAGATACGTGGGGCGCCTGCGTGGCTCGGTCGTTAGGCATCTGCCTTCGGCTCAGGTCATGATCCCAGGGTCCTGAGATCAAGTTCTATATCGGCTCCCTGCTCTGCAGGGAGTCTGCTTCTCCCTCTCCCTCTCCCACTCCCCCTGCTTGTGTTCCCTCTCTCGCTGTGTCTCTCTCTGTCAAATGAATAAATAAATCTTTAAAAAAAAAAAAAGAAAGAGTGAGGTACTTGTTATTGTTGGCAGGGTCAGCGGTTCTGGGGACAGTTCTGTTGTCACCAAGGCCCGCAGCGTCTTACTGAAGTTGAAAATGAGAGGTGGAGGAGGGTGTGTTGATTCAGCAGCTTCCAAAATTAACAAGTGATTAATACACTCAAGCCATGCTGGAAATATTACAGCTTCTGGGAAAGAAGAAAAAACAACATGAGATTGCACTTAAAGGGTATATGTTTCCCCACAGGACTCCAGGAACTTTGCGTTTTTAGCCACTGCTAATTTTTAATTATTTCATGATAACAGCTTGTTCCACTCTAAAATAAGACTGGCGGGGCGCCTGGGTGGCTCAGTTGGTTAAGCGTCTGCCTTTGGCTCAGGTCATAATCTCAGCGTCCTGGGATCGAGCCCCATGTCGGGCTCTCCGCTTAGTAGGGAGTCTGCTTTTCTCTCTTTCTCTGTCTCTGTCTCTCAAATAAATAAATAAAATCTTAAAAAAAATAAAATAAAATGACACTGCCACTGTGAAGTGGCTTGACTTAACGTGTCTAAGGGAGGACTTTCCCTCACGTTAAAGGAATAATCAGACCTGCCCGAAAAGTAGCCTGTGGGTCTGGCGTGCTACAAATACGATGACTCTGTGTAAAAGAATTTCTACAACCAATTATAATAAAATTTGAAGGAGGGTTTACAATTCATTCTATCTCCTAAAATCCTCCTATCTTGTGTGGGCCTTGCTAAACTGTTTAAACAGAGCATTCTATTCACCCTCCTTCTCTGAGGATTCCGGGATGCTATTGTTAGTTTGAAAAGAAGCAAAGAGAGGTGATAATGGAGGGTTGTAGAATCCTGGGATGTCAGTTAATCCTAGAATGACCTGTAATGAACTGAATTATGTCCCCTGCAAAGTCCATATATTGAAATCCTAACCTCAAGTACCTTAAATGTGAATGTATTTGGAGATAGGGCCTTTATTTTTTCTTAAGGTTTTATTTATTTATTTGACAGACAGAGAGAGAGAGAGAGAGCGAGCCCAAGCAGGGGGAGCTGCAGGCAGAGGGAGAGGGAGAAGCAGGCTTACTGATCAGGGAGCCTGACTTGGGGCTCGATCCCAGGACCCTGGGATCATGACCTGAGCCAAAAGCAGATGCTTAACCCCAACTGAGCCACCCAGGCACCCGTAGATAGGGCCTTTAACTAGGTAATTAAGATGAAATGAGGTCATAAGCTATGACCCTAATCTAGTATGACTGGTGTCCTTATCAAGAGACAAGATTAGGGGGTTCCAGGGTGGCTCAGTTGGTTAAGTGTCCTGACTCTTGGTCTTGGCTCACGTGGTGATCTTATGGGTCATGGGATAGAGCCCCGCTCTGGGCTCCACACTCAACCTGGAGTCTGCTTGGGATTCTCTCTCTCCTCCCCCCCTGCTCCCTTTCCCTCTCTCTCTCAAATAAATATTAAAAAAAAAAGGACGAGATTAGGACATCGATACCAGGGAAAAGGTCCCACATGAGGACATAATGAGATGACCATCTGCAAGCCAAGGAGAGGGGCTTTGGGAGACACAAAATCTGCTGACACTTTGATCTTGGACTTCTAGCCTGCAGAAGTGTAAGAAAATAAAATTTGTTGTTTAAGCCACTCAATGTGTGGCATTTTGTTTTGGCAGCCTGAGCAGACTAGCGCGCACGCGCGCACACACACACACACACACACACACACACACACACACTTTTTTTGGTAGAGAATGTGATCATGTCACATAGTGGTCGTGGATGGAGACAGGAGGGATGGTGGGGGAAGAAGCCTGGTTGCCTGACTCCTGGTTTCCTTCCATTATA